AAAAGCAAATATATGATATTTTATTTTTAATTGTTCATACATTTTGAATGCTAAAGTAGGAGAAACTTTTAGAGAGGGTGTGGTAGGTAAGTTTGGGGTGCCAGGTGTAAATGATAATGGGAGCCCTTTGAATGAAATTTGTATAGAAAGGGGTTTAGTTATAGGTAATACATATTTTAAGAAAAAGAGGATAAATAAGTATACAAGATATGATGTAGGGCGATATGACAGTAGTTTGTTGGATTATGTATTGGTAGATAAAAGACTGTTGAGTAGACTTCAGGATGTACATGTTTATAGAGGGGCCACAGATATATCAGATCACTTTCTAGTTGTAGTTACACTGAGAGTAAAAGGTAGATGGGATACAAGGAGAATAGAAGCATCAGGGAAGAGAGAGGTGAAGGTTTATAAACTAAAAGAGGAGGCAGTTAGGGTAAGATATAAACAGCTATTGGAGGATAGATGGCTATGAGAGCATAGGCAATGGGGTTGAAGAGGTATGGGGTAGGTTTAAAAATGTAATGTTAGAGTGTTCAGCAGAAGTTTGTGTACAGAAAGTGAGTGCGGAGGAAAGAACAGCGATTGGGGAATGATGATTGTAAAGAGAGTAGCAAGGGAGAAAAAGTTAGCATATGAGGAAGTTTTTACAAAGTAGAAGTGATGCAAGGAGGAATGAGGATATAGGAAAAAGAGAGAGGTTAAGAGAGTGGTGAAGCAATGTAAAAAGAGAGAAAATGAGAGAGTGGGTGAGATGTTATCAACAAATTTTGTTGAAAATAAGAAAAAGTTTTGGAGTGAGATTAACAAGTTAAGGAAGCCTAGAGAACAAATGGATTTGTCAGTTAAAAATAGGAGAGGAGAGTTATTAAATGGAAAGTTAGAGGTATTGGGAAGATGGAGGGAATATTTTGAGGAATTGTTAAATGTTGATGAAGATAGGGAAGCTGTGATTTCGTGTATAGGGCAAGGAGGAATAACATCTTGTAGGAGTGAGGAAGAGCCAGTTGAGTGTGGGGGAAGTTCGTGAGGCAGTAGGTAAAATGAAAGGGGGTAAGGCAGCCGGGATTGATGGGATAAAGATAGAAATGTTAAAAGCAGGTGGGGATATAGTTTTGGAGTAGTTGGTGCAATTATTTAATAAATGTATGGAAGAGGGTAAGGTACCTAGGGATTGGCAGAGAGCATGCATAGTTCCTTTGTATAAAGGCAAAGGGGACAAAAGAGTGCAAAAATTATAGGGGGATAAGTCTGTTGAGTATACCTGGTAAAGTGTATGGTAGTTATTTTTGAAAGAATTAAGAGTAAGACGGAGAATAGGATAGCAGATGAACAAGGAGGCTTTAGGAAAGGTAGGGGGTGTGTGGATCAGGTGTTTTACAGTGAAACATATAAGTGAACAGTATTTAGATAAGGCTAAAGAGGTCTTTGTGGCATTTATGGATTTGGAAAAGGCGTATGACAGGGTGGATAGGGGGCAATGTGGCAGATGTTGCAGGTGTATGGTATAGGAGGTAGGTTACTGAAAGCAGTGAAGAGTTTTTACGAGGATAGTGAGGCTCAAGTTAGAGTATGTAGGAAAGAGGGAAATTATTTCCCAGTAAAAGTAGGCCTTAGACAAGGATGTGTGATGTCACCGTGATTGTTTAATATATTTATAGATGGGGTTGTAAGAGAAGTAAATGCGAGGGTCTTGGCGAGAGGCGTGGAGTTAAAAGATAAAGAATCACACATAAAGTGGGAGTTGTCACAGTTGCTCTTTGCTGATGACACTGTGCTCTTGGGAGATTCTGAAGAGAAGTTGCAGAGATTGGTGGATGAATTTGGTAGGGTATGCAAAAGAAGAAAATTAAAAGTGAATACAGGAAAGAGTAAGGTTATGAGGATAACAAAAAGATTAGGTGATGAAAGATTGGATATCAGATTGGAGGGAGAGAGTATGGAGGAGGTGAATGTATTCAGATATTTGGGAGTGGACGTGTCAGCGATGAGTCTATGAAAGATGAGGTGAATCATAGAATTGATGAGGGGAAAAGGGTGAGTGGTGCACTTAGGAGTCTGTGGAGACAAAGAACTTTGTCCTTTGAGGCAAAGAGGGGAATGTATGAGAGTATAGTTTTACCAACGCTCTTATATGGGTGTGAAGCATGGGTGATGTATGTTGCAGCGAGGAGAAGGCTGGAGGCAGTGGAGATGTCATGTCTGAGGGCAATGTGTGGTGTGAATATAATGCAGAGAATTCGTAGTTTGGAAGTTAGGAGGAGGTGCGGGATTACCAAAACTGTTGTCCAGAGGGCTGAGGAAGGGTTGTTGAGGTGGTTCGGACATGTAGAGAGAATGGAGCGAAACAGAATGACTTCGAGTGTATCAGTCTGTAGTGGAAGGAAGGCGGGGTAGGGGTTGGCCTAGGAAAGGTTGGAAGGAGGGGGTAAAGGAGGTTTTGTGTGCGAGGGGCTTGGACTTCCAGCAGGCATGCGTGAGTGTGTTTGATAGGAGTGAATGGAGACAAATGGTTTTTAATACTTGACGTGCTGTTGGAGTGTGAGCAAAGTAACATTTATGAAGGGGTTCAGGGAAACCGGCAGGCCGGACTTGAGTCCTGGAGATGGGAAGTACAGTGCCTGCACTCTGAAGGAGGGGTGTTAATGTTGCAGTTTAAAAACTGTAGTGTAAAGCACCCTTCTGGCAAGACAGTGATGGAGTGAATGATGGTGAAAGTTTTTCTTTTTCTGGCCACCCTGCCTTGGTGGGAATCGGCCAGTTGATAATATAATATAATATATAATTTTGAAGATGGCTCACAACAGTTGGGACAATTTAGGTATCAGTTGTTGATGCTTGGTACATTAAACATATAATTTCATCATAAATAGCCATTATTATAGTTATCTTCAAAATAGTGGTATTTTTGTCTTAAGTTCATATAACCACTAATCTTGACTTTGTGATGTGTATACTGTTTTTAGTCATTTGTATTGATCTTCACATTTTACAAGAACATCCTTTGATCAAATTCTTTACAAGACTGAGTATATTGTGAGTGTTATTCTAACTATCAACTTAAAATTACCTTCATTAGTGTTACCCTTATTTTAAACTAGTTTCTGTGGGTTATTTGTACATCCTTTTGGCATAGTTTGTTTCAATATTAAAATCTTGCATACCTTTTCACTAAACTGTAGAAATGTTAAACAGGTAGGTTGTAACCATCAAGGTATAGTATTTTGTCACATGAAATTCATGGATACATTTAGGAATTATGACAACACTTAATCTGTTTAACTTAATGTTAAATGAATTTAGAAAAACTCTGATGTTATAATTGTGAGAGCCTGCATAAGTAGTGCATATTAGTCTTCTGACATTACTAGCACATAACCTTACTTGATATATCCATATTACATAACTTAAACACCTTGGATAGCAGTAGTACCTATATGTTGTCAGTTCCCTGTATCCCTTGTGTATAGAATTTCCTTTGATCATGGTTATTCAAAATTCACAATAGGAGGAATCAAGAACACTATTTCATAGATTTGGCATAAATTTTCTGAGCTTTCCACAAAGCTTGAACATTAGCAGTACTGCTTCAGAGATCATAGAGGGAGAATTGGTGTAGTTCTTAAGAGTGGGATTAATGCAGTTGAGGAACAGCATGTGTATGGATAAATGCAACAATTCACACTGCTCTTCAGATATCCACCCTTGTGTTCTTGTAGGCCATGTTAACGGGAAAACTTCAGAATTTTACGGATGGTATTTGCATGCTCTCTTGCCCCCTAACATGTCCAGCTGAATTTGAGACTCAGGAAACCGTAAATACACGAGTGAGTTTTAGGACTCTTCTGCCATGGGTTCGAGCCCAACCCTTTCTGTGATATGTGCAATATAACCCCACGTCACTTGTTCATGCTACATTCTACTTCATGTCCCTCTCGCTGTCATTACTGATATCATTAGAACATTAAATCAAGGTTTCACTGTACAGTAGAACCTCCGTATCCACTGATTCAGTATCTACAGTTTCAGTTATCCATGAAATGACCCTTAATTTTGCTTAATAATGGCCCAAGAGTGCAAAAGTAGTGATGCTGGCAGTTCTTCAGAGCCTAAGAGAAACTGTGAAATTTTCCCCATCAATGAAAAAGTGTTAAGTCTAGACTTAGCATAATTTACCAATTAAACTTTATCATGGGTATGTATGTAAACGAAAAATGACTTCGTAGGATTCGCTACTATCCATGCTAGGTCTTGGAATGTATCCCCTGTGGATACAGGGGTCCTACTGTGTTTACATAATATACATTTTTTTTTTCTCCTAAAAATGAAATATTAGCAATGTCACTCGTCTTACATTGCATGTAATATAATTGTGTATCGTTTATGTGGGTATTTGATTTTAGGAGATAAGTGAGGACAACTTTTTCATAAATTAAAAGTTTAATTAAAAACAAATTGCCATAGACTTAAACATTGGCTCAAGAGCACAAATGCACTACAGTAAAGCCTTGATGCAGCAGACTATTAGGGAGGATTTTTAGTGCTGTTAAATCAGAAGTGTGTTCAGACAATACAATAAATACATTTAAGTACTCTAGTGTGTAGTAATATAATAATGCATGCAATTTACAGATTTACTACAGTAAATAATGAAAATAAAGCAGTTTAAAGTAAAATTTACCCAGTGGATTTTGGGCCATTATGTCGAAAGTTTTTTTATATTGAGGGTTTAATGTAGTTAAATGACCTCGAGATAAGTCAAAATGAACAACTGTCAGTGAATAAACAGGAATGGACTTGTAATCTGTCAGGATGATGGTTCAAGTCCCCATCCATTTTTTTTGTTTACACTAGTCAAAATGCACTACCACATGACTTTAATCCTTTGAACAAGTAGGATAATAAACTAATTTGATAAAAGAAGATACAGTATATGTAAGCAGTTCAAGTATGTAGTTAATGAAGGTTTTGTAATTTTTACTATTATTTTTTCTTCACAGAGATAATAAAGAAGCCCAGGCCAAGAAATTTTATTGAACTGTGAAATGGGGTTTAAAGTTCTGGATTTTAAGATCTCAGGAGCCAAGAGATTTCTTCTGAAATATTTTGTGAAAATATTGCTTTTATAGTGTCTGTTTACAAAAATTTTAATGGTGTTTTAAGCATTTATTTTTTTAATAGAGACTTTATTTTTCATTTCTCGTGAGAATGTTATACATCAAGACCAAGAAATTATAGAAGAGACATGTGATCTGACTTTTAGTGAGTTGAATTTGTTGTTCAAAATAACTTCCTGAAATAAGTGAAATTTACTTTGCTGCTTTAAGCAGCAGCTGATAATGCAACTTCTCTTATAAGAATTAGAATAGGTCAGAATTGTTACACATTGTAACACTTGAGCCAGACATGTTCATGCAAAGAGCCATGTTGGCTGTACAGTTAAACTGGTATTCCCAACTTGCTCCTTTATTGACCTCATTTTCTGAAGGTGTGTTTCAGGGTTTGCTACTGGAGTGAATAAAGTTCAACCTGTTATGTTTTCTGAATACCCTGATTGAAATGAATCTTGTTAATATCTGATTAGTTTGTAAGATTTGCAATATATGCATCTCCATTCTGTATAAATTTGAAACTTTTTTGTTTGAGAATACTGCAATGAATTTGCAAACATATAAAATTTGTGATTACAGTTATATAGCAAAAAATAGATATATAACAGGATTTGGTCATCTGTTTAGTGAATGGCAAGCTCGTCTTACCAGTATTACCATTACATAATGCTTCCAGTTTTGAAAAACATATATCACTACTCCCAAATAACTAGGCTTGTTGCATATGAAGTGGTGGTTGTCTCACTATGTGAGGCACTCGCACTTTAACAGTCTCCTAGTGTGTAGTTTTGTTGATTGTTACTTTATTTTAATTTTTTTTAATGTCACAGACCCAATTATTAATCCTCCTATACCTGCTTTCTTTGGATTAGGGTAGTATAATAGTTTATAAAATTTAGATTAGAAATGAGAGATTTAGGATCTGCAGTAAACAGTTGAAAAACTGATTACTGAGCTTATGGTCCCCATATCATAAATTACTGTGTACAATATAGTTTTCCAGAATTTCAGGGCTTTTGGGCTTGATCATTAACATATGTGAAGCTAATACTTCCTGTTTTGCTCATTTTCCCATTGGAGTTATATTTGTTTGGTTGAGGTTTATTTAGTTACCTATTGTGATTTTTTTTCTTGGGAGGATTAGAATTTTTTTTTTTAATTATCAAGGTACAGGATAGTTTTTTATATTCTTTTAGCCACAAAAGTTGGTTTACTAATAATAATTCTTTTCTTATTCAATATAATAAGTTACATCACTGGATTAGTCTTCCAGAGAGAATGGTGTAGTGCACAAAGTCAGCTAAATTGTGGCTCGTGCCAATTTACATGTATTTTTGTTGCTTTATTTATTTTTTCTTTAAAAAATTTTCTTTTGTAAGATTCTTTTCTACATACTTTAGTCATAGATTATTATTGTATTTTGTTAAGATTTAATAAATTATTAAAGTTTTTCTACATATTATGTGTCATTTATTTACCTGTAATTACACTTATGATAATGCGCAGTTAACCTTTTGGACTGTGTTAATTTTAATATCTGCACTCTAATCAACGTTCATACTCCTGTACTTGTCACATGAGCATTCTATTCCGGCACTTATCACTACATTTTCTATCCACCAATATTTATTATAAGCAGTGAAACCTCAATTTATGGACTAGTAGAGGAAGAGGGTGCTTGGTAATTTTGACTGCCTGTTCAATTCCCACGATTGTTTTTGATGATTTTGACAGTGGACAATTCTGGATTTAATGGACTTGTTAAATCTAAAATAAATTTAAATAGTAGACTTAATAACAGACAGTTTTGGATTTAACTGACTTTGTTCAGATTTTTTCCAATTTCTGGATTTTGTATAGTGCTGGCACTCTGAAGGAGGGGTGTTAATGTTGTAGTTGTATAACTGTAGTATAAGCATGCCTCTGGCAAGACAGTGATGGATTGAATGATGAGATTTTTCTTTTTCAGGCCACCCTGCCTTGGTGGGAAATGGCCAGTGTGTTAATAAAAAAAATATATAACAGATTTTGTCCAATAAATTGGTTTAACTTTGTACTGCTGGTTGAGGGCTCATGAGCTGAAGAACTGGAATTACCCTCCAATTCTTTGGATTGAATAGGATTATGTACGTTCCATTTCCCTAGGCACTTATGAGTTTAGTTCTTCCTACTAAATATAATATGCTTAGTATTACAATCTTTTCATACAGTACATTAGGGCCCCACTTTATGGCGTTTTAAAAAAATGCCTTATGGCGACTTCAAATTATGACCAAAATTTCCTATACGGCAAGCAGTCTTTCAAATATGGCATGCCCCACCTGGTTTGTTTACATTCTTCATGAGCACATCTATTATGTCTGGAAACTTTCCATAATTTCAGGTGTTTAAAAGTTATTGCGAATTTTATGTGTACTCTGATAATTATGCTTATATGTACCTGTACCTAAATTTTTTTTTTTTCTCAAGTCGGGCATCTCCCACCGAGGCAGGGTGACCCAAAAAAGAAAGAAAATCCCCAAAAAGAAAATACTTTCATCATTCAACACTTTCACCTCACTCACACATAATCACTGTTTTTGCAGAGGTGCTCAGAACACAACAGTTTAGAAGCAATACGTATAAAGATACACAACATATCCCTCCAAAATATACTTACATATTGTACTGGAGTGAGGGTACACATTAAAATCGCTAAGAGTCTCTCTACTCATGATGCCATAGTAATACTAGGTAATAATAATCTCTCTTGGGCACATTAAATGTCTTATTTTACATTAATATAAACATTTTCATTAATCCATCTATGATATTTTCTTCAAAATTATATAAGAAACACATTACATAGCATATAAACATTATACATACACCCACAATAAAATCTGACATAAATATAAGATTTGTTTACAAAGCAGCTTTGTAGGAGTGTCAGAAGAATTACGTTTTCTCCAGTCAAACACTGGGGGATAACTATAGATAAATATTCCTTTCGTATGCCTTCACTCTATATATAGTAATTCACGATCCTTGTGGGTTTAGTGCTTTTTTATTATGATTATAATAATTTGTAATAATAATATAATTGTCAGAGCATCATTCCTTCTGAAAATTACATGAGAATAGAAGTGTTGGTCTTTATTTATTCTACTGTACCACTGTGGAGACACTTGTACACAATGTAAGGTGTTTGTATGAATGTTTATGAATCACAACCAGACACATCATCTGTTTGTTTACATAGTGGGTGGGGTGCCCAGGCTGGCTTCCCTACACTACATAGTGGGTGGGGTGGCCAGGCTGGCTTCCCTACACTACCCTACCTACCACACGACTTTCTACAAATAAATACTTTTCACCTTTCACCCTACATTAAGACTACAAATATTTTAAGGTAAGTAATGAGTGTACTGTATATGCATTTTATCACTCTAAAGAGCTTTAAGCATCATCGTAGTATATTATGTGTGGGTGGGGGTGGCCAGGAGGGCTACCACACCTAACTTCTTACAGTAAATACTACTCACCTTTTGCCCTGCATTAGGACTACGAATATTTTGAGGTAAATAATGAGTGTACTGTGTATTTTACTTTGTTGTTTTTAATGCCTAGTTCTTTTGCTAACTTAATATATGTTAGTGTAAACTTATCTGGCATTTATATGCATTTATAAATGGAAAAAATGGCATTCTGCTTCCGGCGATGTCTGCTTTCCAGCAGTAGCCTGGAACCTAACCTGCCATACTGTATTAACATTGATTTTAATATAGTATTTAGCTTTACTAGCGGGATAATGGGTATATCTTGCTACTTGTACTTAGGCTTAGGTCATACTATACATGCATGTACATGCATATATATTTACGCAACCATCTGGGTTTTCTTTTATTTTCTTAACAGTTCCTGTTTTTCTTTATTTCCTCTTATCTCCATGAAGAAGTGGAAAAGAATTCTTCCTCCATAAGCCATATGTGTCGTAAGAGGTGACACATGCCGGAAGCAAGGGGATAGTAACCTCTTCGCCTGTATAAATTATTAAATTTAAAAATAAAAACTTTTGCTTTCTTTTCAGGTCACCCTGCCTCAGTGGGATATGACCAGTGTGTTAAAAAAATTTCAGACACCTTGATAAGATATTCCTGAAGGAGTACCATTTAAGTGGTTGCCAGAATTATTTTTCTTCCCCTGTACAGTGAAGCAATATTTCCTGTAAGAAATAATGTAAATCCAATTAATCCATTCCAGACACCCAAAATTAACAAAAAATACATTTTATAGAGAATAACTATAGTTTTACATACAGAAAACAATGAGAAACATAAGTGACTAATGAAATGAATAAATGAACATTTACAATCACTTTTACCTTTATTGAAGACTTGTTGGCATATGGAAGATGGTGAGGAAGGATGAGAGGTTGTGTGGAAGGGGAATCCCCCTCCATAAAGACTTCAGATATCACGACCGTATCCGAGGTTACTTCCCTTCTTTGTCTTTTACTGGCACTAAGACCGCTTGAGTCATTAGGCCTCTTGTCACACAAAAAATCTGTCCAAAGAGGTCTGTTTCTGGTGTCTTAAGATTTGCCTAAAATGGGACAAGGCATTGTCATTGAACATGTTGCAACAGCTTTGTTAGGGTGACATTTCTCCACAAAACTTTGCAACTTGTTTCACTTTGCACTCGTCTTTAATCACTGAAGAAGGCACATTTTCCCTATCATGTTTCTCGCCTTCTTTATCAAAGGGCTGGCACTCAGAACTTTCTTTGGCCCCCGTGGTGGCTTATTTAGCAGTCACACTCGGTAAACAAGCACAAAAAACAATGGATTATTAAGAAATGTTTCAGATGAACACTCGGTGTAATGCTCAACAAGAAACAAAGCCAGACTGAGTCAGAACAGGTGGGATGCTTTGTGTGGGCGCGGGTAGGCAGACACGTTTGGTATAGCAGACCATTGTCAACTCTATGAAAACCGAGCGGCTGTACGAAAACGGACAAAATTTCAACGAAAAAAGTGGTCAAAAACCGAATCCTATGAAAACCACTATCTTACTTAGAACACGAGAAGGCCTCGTCTAACTGGCTTCAAACTTTCAACACTGGTGTACTATATAATTAGGGTTAGGCACATGCAACTACTGGCATGTGCAGGTGCCCTATGATCAGTGTTATGTATATAACCACTCTAAAATTCTTGGAATGGGTACAATAGCTTTCAAAAGCCTCATCTGCTTGACTTGAAATATTCAACACTGGTGTAACCTACGTAGAACAGGATGGAAAGGATAACTGAAGTGTGTAATTGCCAGTTTGTTGAAGTGAAATTTTTCACATCAAGTATGTCTGAGTATACTTTTTTGAATGCCTTCAGTCATTAATGGCTGATGCATTTTATGGACAAGATAGTACTCAGTAAATGTAGCTTGTATATTTGCAAATTTGCCAATATACAGAACTAACATAAAACTCTGAATCTTTGAAATTCATAAGATAACAATAGAATGCCTCTTTCAAGTGACCTCGATCAAACTGTTAACAAAAGAAAGGGTAGCATATATACTATGAGCTGTGTATATTTTAATTTGTGAATTTTATTAAATTGAAGAATGAGTAGAGAATGCCTCTTTTGAAACATTGATTTTTAATGCTAGAGTTTGTGAATGCCTCATCCTGGAGTTTACCTGGAGAGAGTTCCGGGGGTCAACGCCCCCGTGGCCCGGTCTGTGACCAGGCGGCCTGGTGGATCAGAGCCTGATCAACCAGGCTGTTACTGCTGGCTGCACACAAACCAACGTACGAGCCACAGCCCGGCTGGTCAGGAACCGACTTTAGGTGCTTGTCCAGTGCCAGCTTGAAGACTGCCAGGGGTCTGTTGGTAATCCCCCTTATGTATGCTGGGAGGCAGTTGAACAGTCTCGGGCCCCTGACACTTATTGTATGGTCTCTTAACGTGCTAGTGACACCCCTGCTTTTCATTGGGGGGATGTTGCATCGTCTGCCAAGTCTTTTGCTTTCGTAGTGAGCGATTTTCGTGTGCAAGTTCGGTACTAGTCCCTCTAGGATTTTCCAGGTGTATATAATCATGTATCTCTCCTGCCTGCGTTCCAGGGAATACAGGTTTAGGAACCTCAAGCGCTCCCAGTAATTGAGGTGCTTTATCTCCGTTATGCGCGCCGTAAAGGTTCTCTGTACATTTTCTAGGTCAGCAATTTCACCTGCCTTGAAAGGTGCTGTTAGTGTGCAGCAATATTCCAGCCTAGATAGAACAAGTGACCTGAAGAGAGTCATCATGGGCTTGGCCTCCCTAGTTTTGAAGGTTCTCATTATCCATCCTGTCATTTTTCTAGCAGATGCGATTGATACAGTGTTATGGTCCTTGAAGGTGAGATCCTCCGACATGATCACTCCCAGGTCTTTGACGTTGGTGTTTCGCTCTATTTTGTGGCCAGAATTTGTTTTG